TGAAGAAACAACCGTTCATGCAGTTAACCCAATTCAAGTTTTGTGCAAAAACGCATGATCGCACCGACTCGCCTGGTGCGTTCCAGCCTGGGTTGCAATTTGCATATAGACAAAAACGCATAAAAAGTATATTTTGACGTATTTCTCCAGAAAACAGTGCTCAAAATGCTTTTGCTTTTAATTAAAAAATAAAGATAAATTAAAAAGTGCAGTGCAGCCACATTCTGCTTTCTGCACAATTTATGTATAAAAATGGCGTAATTTTTTAGAAGCAGGCGGCAGCACCCCATCGACGCCACAGTCTGGTACCATTGATGAACAGTCCGAAACTTCGAAAAGCACTAGCGCTACTCGCAGGTAACTTCTTTATCACTGCACGCCCACATGTCCTTTTTTGCTGCAAATAGTTTTCATGGTGTTTTCCCACTCATTCTGCTTCTTTATCTTTCCATTTTGACGAAACAAACTTCCATCCTTTGGGCTTCCGTTTGGCAAACCAATAGCAGGGACAACACGGGTTGTGTGCTGCTTCTGCCACTCCGTGTGCAAAAAACATCTCACCGATATTTGCTTGATTTGCTTTTCTTTACTTGATTTGCTAATATGTTCTATTTGAGCCCTAATATGTCGAGCTCGAAAATCGACGAAAGCTTGGATCAAGACGAGTCTACGTTTGATGGGAAGTCATCTTCAAGGAAAACTTCAGCTGCCGATGAGATCACTCCATCAAAAGAGTTTTCAGTTACTGAAGAAAAAATTTCCTCACGTAAAAGTTCTACGGTTGAGGAAAAGATTTCATCTTCAGCGAAAAGTTCAACCACAGAAGATAAACCTCCATCAAGAAAGGTTTCTGAAGAAAAAGTTTCATCACGGAAATCGTCTACAGCAGAAGAGAAAGTTCCCTCTCGAAAGGCATCTGCTACTGGAGAAGAAAAAATTCCTTCTCGAAAGACATCGGCTGCTGAAGAAGAAAAAGTTCCTTCCCGAAAGGCGTCTGCTGTTGAAGAAGAAAAAGTTCCTTCTCGAAAAGCATCTGCTGCTGAAGAAGAAAAAGTCCCTTCTCGGAAGGCGTCTGCTGTTGAAGAAGGTAAAATTCCCTCGCGCAGGGTATCGTCAGCTATTGAAGAGGAAAAAATCTCTTCCAGAAAATCGTCTGCAGCAGCAACAACAGCTGAAAAAACCCCCTCTCGCAAGGCATCAGGGGAAGGTGGCGAAAACGATCAGGCCAGAAAAATGTCAAAATCAGCTAGGTTCGAAGAAGAAGTAATCAAGTCGCCGCCGAAATCACCACAGTTGCGAAAACCA